TCCCCATCCCTCTGTACTGCTCAAAGGGGGAGGAGGAAGAGAAAATCAAGAGTGAAGTCGAGGCCAGGAAGAAGGAAGGGGTGGGGTAAAGGTGTTTTAAGATTTAGTTTTTATTTCTCATTACCCTACTCTGATTTCATTGGCAATAGATTAAATTAATTTTCTCAAGTTAAGTCTGTTTTGTCTGTGACGGTAATTGCTGAGTGATCTCCCTGTCCTTATGTCGACCCACAAGTCTTCTGTTGTATTTTTTCTCACCTGTCCAACTGAGTGGCTTTGGTGTGCACCTGGTGTCCAGTCAGGGTCAACCACCACAGCAACCCTGAAATTTTTCTGTCTTTCCTCTCTCACTTCTCCTTTCTTCCTACAAAGCATAAAACTGGCTTTAGATTCATAGGATATTTGAGAGATTAGACATGGTGAGGGGAGAAAGGAGGAAAGAGGAAGAAGGTCTCGCAGCACCTTCTCACCCTTCCCACACTTCTCTTCTAGTGCTGAAGCTGGGCCACCCTCTTCCTCAGGTGCAGCTCCCACCAGCTTTGCTTTTTGCTGCTCCTCTGCCAAGGTCTCAGCCCAAGCTGCCCAAGCTCCAATCCCCATCCAAAAAGAGAGATTTGTAAACAATGCAAGATACAATGATAAAATTAGTGTTCTTGTTACCCCTATTCTTTTCCTTTCTTTTTTGGCTTCCATTTGCCACGCATTTCTTTATTTCTCTCTTTCCTTCCTGTATGTTTCTGTAGTGTTCCTTAGTCTTCCTCCTCCATTCTTGCTGTCTCTTTATCTGTTTGGGTTTTTTTTAAATTTATTTCTGCACATTGCCTTACCATGTATCTTTTCTTCTTCTGCCTTTATGAGTCCTAGCCTCTTTTCAGTGATGGTCCAGGTATTTTTGAGTCTTTTTCAAGACTTTCCTTCTTTCAATCTCTGTGCTTTCTCCCTCCCTTCTATTTTAACATTGTTCCCTCACTGATCTATTTTACTTGCTTTGTATGTATATTCCCTCAGAACTCCTTTGACATCAGTTTAACTTCTTGCCTCAGGAAATGTCAATGTATGAGCAGATTCTGTCTTTTCTAGGCCCTTAGGATAGTATACTCAGGGTTCAAAGCTGTATTGCTTTTCCAGTGGCGCCAATTGGCTCTACGTTGCATTTTTCTGGTTTCAAAACCATACTGCTCTTCCCCGCCGCTGTTGTGACCACAAGACATTAAAGTGTAACCCTTCTTTTCTATAAAATGCAAGAGCAGGAAGTGGGCAATGACTGTGCAGCTGAGCAAGCGATGGCATGACTAGACACATAACTCTGCAACTGCCTGCAAAAGCCAGCCACGGCTTGCTTTCTTCCACCAGGGCTGTCACTCATCACTGGATAGTAATGCTCTGTTGAAAGGTGAGGTGGAGCAGTTTGGCGACCTGAACAAGTCCTCAGCTATGTTCACTTTCTCCATCATAACCAACGTCTCCCAGCACGCAAGTGTTCCTATACACAAGCTCCCACACACCTTTTCCCATGTTCTCCAATGCGATTTCTTACACAAGATCCAGAGGCCAGCATGGGTGGATCCGAACAACAGACCATAACAGTGTTTCTCACACCAGCAGGAGTCTTTCTGATACTTCTCCCTCACATGCTGAAAGATGGATAGGTTTCATACTGGGACTGGTAGAGAGAAGAGGCAGAAGTAAAAAATGAACCTCAGCTTCTCATGGGCAAGCTGCCCTGTTTATAAATGAGTAATAAATGGTTTTCTAGCCTTCTGTAGACTAAGACAGTTCTGTATCGGTAACATCTGCTTGCCTTGCATATGCTGGGATACCTTGGCATTGGTCAGGAAGTGGAGAAAGATGGGCCCCACCCTGAGGCAGTGTTTCTCTCTGCTTTCATAGGATCAACCTTCCTGGCAAAGCTCTCACAAGGAACTCTCTGAGAAAACATGCTCAAGTAAATTTGTGTGAATGTGCTAAATGCTCTGATCAGCATTTACACAGAGCATGACCTCCACTGAATTAAGACTGGCTCCTGGATTAGAATGCTTTCAGAACCTGAAAAAAACTGCGAGAATGATGTCTGAGCTTTTCTCCTTCAGGAAATCTCATCCAGGCAGAAAAAAGAGGGATGGAGCAATCTGCAAGACATTTTCATCAGTCTAGCAGACCAGCACAGATGTAGCAATATAATATGATATGGCCTGCTGGACAACTGAAACTGCCTGACCAAGAGTCAGTGTCCAAACACAAACAAACTGTACAGACTACAGGCAGCTAGTCCATCTTGCCTATGCAGGGACTGCCTGTGCCGCTACTTAGTCAGTCATCAACCCCACATGCAATGATTCCCTGACCCATGTCCTACAGGAGATCCAGTAGAAACCACAGTGACGACAGCTCTGGATAACTCTGACATCAGCCTCCAACACCGACCAGACACTGATGGGGTTTATGAAACATTTCCCAGTCATTCAGCTGTCACTGACGTTATTAAGCTGGTGAAGATCTTTGCAGGCAATTCCTTCTCAGACAGGATGGCCTGCAAAGCACTTGTATTTTGCACTCTTCTGACTACCATCCATGTATCAGGACACCTGATGCATATCAGAAAACATCCACAGAGGTCTGCAGCGTCTCACTTCCCATTGTTTTTGGTGAAAGTTAGTCCCCTCAGGACCTTCAAAAATATGGGCCAACTCCAGTTAACCCTATGGTATGAAAAAGTGTTAAGAGCCCATTAAAGGTCCACAGAGGGAAGGAAACTTGTAAAACCACTGAATCATTTATTGTGACTGGAGGCTGGAGTCACAGAACTCCTGTCTCCAAATTCACAATAACCACCATGCGGTTCCTTAGTGTTAGAAGTATGCATATTAGGGGTTGCATGTACCCATTTAGGAATCTATTTCTGGTTTCTTTCAGACGTGAAGAACTAAGAGGAATTCACAAGTAAAGTGCTCCTATTTTTTTTATTATTCACACACACAGAATCACAGAATGTTAGGAGTTGGAAGGGACCTCGAAAGATTATCCAGTCCAACCCCCCTGCCAGAGCAGGATCACCTAGACTAGGTCACACAGGAACGTGTCCAGGCGGGTTTTGAATGTCTCCAGAGAAGGAGACTCCACAAGCTCTCTGGGCAGCCTGTTCCAGTGCTCCATCACCCTTACAGTAAAAAAGTTTTTCCATATGTTCAGGTTGAACCTCCTATGCTCCAGCTTGCTCCCATTGCCCCTTGTCCTGTCACTGGCTGTCACTGAGAAGAGCCTGGCTCCTTCCTACTGACACTCACCCTTTACAGATTTATAAACATTAATGAGGTCACCCCTCAGTCTCCTCTTCGCCAAGCTCAAGAAACCCAGCTCCCTCAGAACTGAACACAATATTCCAGATGTGGTCTCACCAGGGCAGAGTAGAGGGGAAGGAGAACCTCTCTCGACCTACTAACCACAGCCCTCCTGATACACCCCAGGATGCCATTGGCCTTCTTGGCCGCAAGGGCACAGTGCTGGCTCATGGTCATCCTGCTGTCCACCAACACCCCCAGGTCCTTTTCTGCCTGGCACTTTCTCTCCAGCCACTCATCCCCAAGCATGTAATGCTGCATGGGGTTATTGCGACTGACGTGCAGGACACGGCACTTGGCCTATTCATAATTCAATTCTCTGTATATTGTGACCAGGTACTAACATAGTCCTTACTGGGAACTATCATCACATGGTCCAAAAGGGCAATCCAGACATGGATTTAGTTTTTTATTTTGGCTTTGAGGCCTAAGTGAATCTGTTCATTTCCATTCCTATCATTTATTGGAGGCCAAGAGTGAACACAGACACTGACAGTGTTCACATGTGAACACACAAGAGTGAACACTGAGACTGACACTGGAGTTATTGCAGACATTTGACACGGGTTTTATAGTGCTTTATTCTGAACAGTAATTAGGTAAACCAGTACTGAACATATGCAGCAGGCAGTCTTTAGATAGAAATGAAATCTGATTACCCTGATTTCATGTGGAATTTGGAGACTGGTAATTACAATGAGAATCTCACTCAAGTTGAAGTCCTTATTTCTTTCTCATGCCTCAGACATTAAGTAATTCTATGAAGCTTCCATAATGCTGAACCCAGAATTAGAAATGGCAGATAAAGTGTGTGTGAAAAGTGTGGCAGTATTAATCCAACTGTTTTCTATCCTAGAATTGCATAATTTTCTTTTTTTCAGAATATTTACAATAGGGCTCCTCATGGCTGCAGCAAACTGGTCCCCTCTTCCATGTCTGAAGGGCAATGAGTCAAAAAATCCCATGCAGCAGAGTCCAGCCTCCCCAGTCTACAAACTGATGTAGCTCACGCTGAAAAGTCTTCTGAGTAAACATTTTGTCATCATGATTATTGCCTCTTGCATCCACAGGTCTCGGTGCAGCTGCTGTTTCACAGATGCAACCGCTGACGCTAGCCTGAATTGTCTGGCTACGTTGCAGAACTTGGGCATTGTTTCACTGGGCATTGGCAGGGTCTGTTAGGGCACCCTGGACCACCAGAGAGTAGCCAGGTGCAAGGGGAGGGCTATCACACCACATGTACACATTTTCCCCTTCTAGGCAGTAGAAATCCAAAGAGCGTGGGTCACAAGGGCGAGTGGTTTGGCTTGGGAGCTTCTTCCCAGAGCACTTTCCAACTCCCAGTCTATCAAAAATAAGCTCTCAGTACACTTCATTTCGGGAAAAAGGTGTCACAGAGGAACAAAATACACTTGTTTCTGAGGCTGGGATACTTCTCAGACAAATACAATGTGTTCTTCACAGTGGGAATCCTTCAGCTTAAGGGGTGAAACAAAAGGAGATAAACTAGTTCTGCTGCATATGTAGAGTACATTGTATTACCCAGCTGATAGCTGAACCTCTTAGGTTTCCTTTCAAAGGTGATAGTCAGGATGCCAAGCTTTACAGGAACACGCAGCACCATAATTGTAATTGTGCTTTTTCGTAATGCATACACCCTGCTTAAGGGGAACAGAAACGGCCTGAAAGAATCACGTTGCGAGTTTTGTTGTGCCTAAACAAAAAGATAAATGGATGGTCAGCTTTAAATTCATCTTTGTGTTGCAGAATCCGATACCCTGGCACCTCTCGGGACTCGCCACCTTGTTCATTTACTTCCAAAGAGACTTTATGGATGATCTTTGACAAAACCACACCTTTGGTCTCACACATTTCTGAGAAATCTGATGCGCTTTCATTGAAGACATTTGTCATGCCCAAGCTTTCTAGGAGTGGCTTCAGGTCATAATCACCTTCCATGCTAAACTTTGGAAGAAATACATTCACTTTGGTGTTGGCCATCATGCTGGGATTGGTCCACTGTAATAATGTCTCAGGGGTGAGTGCCTTTTCCAGCTGAAGACAGAAAGGAACAGAGGAAATTAATGAACAGTCCAAGGAAAGAGAGAGAAAAAAAAAAGACTGTTCCTGAACTTCCCACTCCTATCAAGCCCCAAAAACCTAAAGTTCAACAGGCTACATGCTATAGCATGCGGGGTTAATATACTCTCAGTTATATTGCTGGAAGTACAATTTAATCCATAGGACAGGCCTCCAGAGCAGTGCCACTGAACACACATGCTCTGACTGTAGTGCCTTACAAGCTTTTGATGTACAATCACCTCCACAACCACATGAAGGAACCTGAGAAAGACAGCTCCTACCCAGGCTACATTTGGCCAAGTGGTGGATCCGAAAGTCTTGATTCTTGACCCTACAGAGTAATGAAATTGCTGGTATTTGGGACAGAAAAAGACTCCAAATCCAGAGCCCAAAATCAATCAAGCATGCAGCTGTTTGAGCAATGTTTTAAAAACAGGGGAGCCAGGAGACAGAGTCTGGAGCCACAACAAATTGGTACTAGGAATGGCCTCACTTGCATTTTAAGACACGCATGTTCTGTAATTTACTCCTACATATAAAAGTACTTTACAGCTGCAAGGGCAGAGTGCTCCTGCCTTGAAAATTTATGAAAATTTATGGAGCAAATTACAAAGGAGACTTCCATGATCATCTGTCTCTTAATCCTTAAATTTTCAAATCCTTTGAAAATCAGTTCTATAATTTCCATAGAGAAATGACATAAGAAGTTGTTCTTTAGGATATGCCTTATTCTTTTTCAAAATTTCGTACAACTGTAGTAAAAATGGCTCCTTTTCAGACACTTCTGCTCAAAATTAAAACCTAAAGAAGTGTAAGAACTTAGCAAAAAAATATCACAGGTATATGCCAACTAAAAAAAATGAGGACACCAGAATAAATAAAGTCATCACTACTATGTACCCAGTAAGCATAAGTTTAAGCAATTTACTATAGCAGGAGCAAAAATCTTTAAATGGAAATTAACTTTTTGGGCCACATTTTCAAATAGATGCAGATTCTTGAAGAACATCATCTTGAAGTACATCTTCTGCACTTTATACTGCCTTCTGTGCATGATCTATCTAAAACAAAGTCCTGTTCATGACCTCACACTTTGTCACAGTGGAAATGATATCACAAATTATACCAGGAACAGAGAAGCAGAAGAAGAAGGTAAATTCACAGGAAACTTTATGTTTCTTTCTACATAGCATCTAACCTTTCACAAGCATATGGCATTCTAAGTGGCCTGCTTCCAAGGAAAGCATCATACTAATTTTATTTTTTTCTCTCACCTGTTCCAAGCCAGTGGTCTCATCTTCAATCTCTTTGGGCAGCAGAATGAGCATGCTTATATGTTTGTTAAGGCATGGAAGCTCAAGGATGGCAACATTCAATTCTTTTACATAGCCCAGGCAAAAAGTAGCTTCCAGATTCATCATTTGCACTGGTTTAGTTTCAGTCTGCAAAACACACAGGAAACAATCTAGCCTTTCTTTAATTCACAACTAAGATGGTGAGAGAGAAAAGTTTGTAAGCTTGAATGTAACTGGTCCACTGAGTTGCCATCAGAGAATTTGCTGGCTGTCATAGGTAATGAAACCAGCTTTAAGATACCTTTGTAATGAAAGCTGATGGCTCTCTACAGTGGGCAGCTTTCCACATAAAAGTGGAACAGAAGTCTACTTAATACAATAGCGACATATTTGGGATGTGCCTGAAAAGATAAATTTACCTAATATTGGCAGCCCTTTGTGCCTGTTTCACTAACTACTACGAGCTGGCATAGTAATGCCAGTAAGTGTACAGCACTGAGCACACCTCAACAGTTAAGGTCAAGCTGTTCATACGAACAACTGACAATTTGGTTCAGAAGCTGAAAGAGAATAAGAAGACATTTCAGGCTTACCTAAAGCCATATGTCTTTGTTTTTCATGAATGAAACAAAACAAAACTCTCTGTTTCATAGGGAAGATTTACAAACTGTTCTGTTCACCTGGAAACTCATTTAAAAATTCAAATTCAGTAGAAAAATGTTACTTTAGGAAAAATTATGTACACATATATATATATATTTGGAGTATAATCTCTTTCTTTCACAAATGTTGCCCAGCTTTATATCTTGCACAATACTCATCACTGCTCACAGATTCCTGAAGGCAAGAGCCATGGGTGCTGCACCCACTTGGACCTTGTGGCTAAGCAGGGCTGATATGCAGAGGGCTGCAGTCCTGAGCCTCACTGTAAAGAGGGAGACTGATGGGGAGCCATTCTCTGGGAGGAAAGCAAAGGACCAGGCACCTAAGTGGTACACTCAAAGACATCTCACATGTGTAGGTGAGAAATGCAATGTTTTATGCCTTACCATTGGTCTGGGGATGCAGCCTCTGGTACAGGCTGCAATCTCTTGGAAGCAGCTACCCGTGAGAATGTGCACCCCCTTTTTGCAGACAATGGCAGCTTCTGGTCACTTGTACTTAGTTGCTGTTGTCTAAATATACTAACAGGACAGTTTGTTTTCACACTGAGACTTTGAAAGATGAATGTGAAAGCACCAGCAAAGTTTTAAAACAACATGAAAAGCAAACTGGCTTAGGGACACTCGCAACAGCATACACATTTAGGTAAAGAGTCAAAAAATGCCATGGTAATAATAAACATTTCTCATTTTCTCTTATTGGGATTTCCTTAGCTCAAATTTTGCATTTTCTTGAAATAGTGGAAATAGTACTCTATTTTATTTTTTTTCAGAACATACCTTGTTGACTTTAAAAGGACATTCTTTGATCTCTGCCTCTGGGAACTTCTTCATCCAGTTTGTGACAAAATAAGCCGCATTAACTAAGAGGATCTGAGTCTGGTCACTTACGCTGTCTTCATTCAAAATATTCTCCATTTTGCCTGTGAACAGGTTTAAGCTGGTTGTTAGCACAACAATATTATCAATCTATCAATCACTTCAGCTGAATATGGAAACACTTCACTGAATTGTAATATTTGTGTCCTGCACCTCACCAATACGAGATTTTTATTCTAATGGGAAATTCCAAAAAGAAGCGTTTACTTAAAATTGCAGTTCCGTGTTTGAAATGATCAAGACTTATCTTTCAAATGACATATTTTTCTTGTCTTATATAGCATGGAATCAAAAACATGTTACTAATTACTATAGGGTTACATGAGAATAAAATAACTACAATAACAAAAAGTACAGCTCTGATTACAGTTCATAACCAAATACTGCTACACACTTCAGAAAGAGTATGAAGATGTCACAGAATCATAGAATCACAGAATTGCTTGGTTGGAAAAGACCTCTGAGATCATCATGTCCAACCGTTCCTGTCTACCCCCTAAACCATATCCTTAAGTACCTCATCTACCCGCTCCTTAAACACATCCAGGGATGGTTTGGAATTTTGGAATGTCGTCCTCCTCTTGCTCTGTTTTAGACCTGTTCAAGCACTACCATAAAAAACAATTAATTCAGAGCACTGGGGAGGCAAGTCCTGCCTTCATGGAGCTGAATGAATTCACGAATTGCACAGGTAGGGCAAGAAGCTTCCACGTGGGCACCTATGTGACCCTGGGAAGGGCCAGATTCATGCACCTATGTTCTCGTATTTGTACAACATGAGGGCAACAGGCAGCAGCTGACCCCAGAGCTACCTGTGCACAGGCTGCAAACAGGCTCTGTTATGGGTGCTGCGTGCTCACATGGGCCAGGATCAGACCTCTGCCCCCTACAGATTGGGCAGGCTCTCCCCAGGGACCCTCACAGTCACTGATGTCCATCTTCTGTGACTTGGTGCAGCAGTTGGTGGCTCAGCAGTACTGCGGTGAAAGTGCTTGCAACCCCATTTTCACAGGAAGGCAAATAAAAGATGCACATCTGCCTGTGGCACCTTTCCTGGCAAAAGCAGCAAAGCAGCTGAGCTGAGCTGCACTATTAAATAACAGCCTAGAATCCGGAGCCCAGCAAATACTTCCCATTAGAATAAAACTTTTGAAAGCTTTGAAATGGCCTGGGTTCAATGTATTGATGCCAGATGTTTGTGAAGCTCCACAGCCAGGAGCTGTTCTCCCAGAGTATCCTGCTGCAGTCAAATGTGAGCAGCTTTCCCAAAGCATAGCGCAAGACCAGTCTCACATTTCCACCTTCAGAAATGCTGCAGTAGTAAAGTCAGTGATTTCAAAACAGGCTGACATTGCTAATCCTCATGAATCCAAATAATAATAGGTCTAGTCCCACTGCTTTCACTATGTATTTACTTCTAAAAGCATTAGTAAAGAGGTGTCATGAAGACAAAGATCTTTTTCTTCAAAGAGGCAAGCAGCATCCCCAAGGTTAAGCTGTACTCACCATCAGTTAGCTCTGAAAGAGATTTGTTAATCTTCTGTCGAGTTTCCTCAGTTTTTTCTTTGAACTCCACTAATTCCAGTTCAGATGGAAAAGGCCTTTTTGTGGAGTTGACAAAGTCCTGAAAGACACAAGTTACCAAAGTAATTCTTGGTTAAATGCTATCCACTCCATGGCTTCTTACACAGCCTGCAACATCAGCATCCCGAGCCTCACCACGGGGTAGCTGGGGAGTTTATTATGATGGACCACTATCAGATAACAGTGGGTGACAAACAGGATGCATGGTTACCTTCAGCACATCGCTCCCAAGGGTGTCTTGAGTCTAGGAGCATTATATCAGCAGCTAAAGTAACTATATATAAAATAAAAACTACATAAATAAAGTAAGCAAAGGTATTGCAGGAATGAGCATGTTGCCAGAGTTTGAAAGGATAAAGCAGCCCCCAATCCAGACCTGGGTAAGAGAGAGGACTGAGATCAAGGACATGGGCTGCTCACATCATGTCTGTCCTGTGGATGAGTATTGGCCTTTGCTTTTCAGAGGCTGAACAGCAGGCAATCTGATTAAAGCATAATTTAAGCATACTGAGTTTTCTGAAATGTACTTTTGGGCTGATGTTGTCCATGCTTGAGGCCCTGTTCAAAGGTAACTTTAGGGGGGGGGGAAACCACAACATTTTTCTCATTTATTTGCAAGGTCCATAAGTTATAAGGCAAAACAACACCTTCCTCACTTGTGTTGTTTCAGTAGCCAGGCTTCTGCCTCTTCAAACATATTAATAAAACTACAGTTTATGCAGTAATTACTTGGGTGTGTGAACTGGACACACTCTTGCACCACCAACTTGTTTTAAAACTCCTTTTCACTCATCCTTGCAATGCAGAGGCCTTGATGTGGCACAGAAGTTATATTGCGTTCAGAACCTACTGAGCCTACTGACCCAAAGCATATTAATGTCAGAATTACAAATGTTGTAATAGTTGCATAGCTTGGCGTCAAGCAGCACACTCATCCTCCCACAGACTTTTATGGCAGCAGAGAATATTATGTTGTTCATCATCTGAAGCTAGTCAAGTAACAGCAAAAAGTGAGAGAACTTATTTTAAATAACATTGAAGGCTGACACCATAACCCATCAACATGCTGGTCAAGCAATTCATAGCACCAAGGCTTTTCTGTATCACTTACTGTGGTAGGGTTAAGAGACTTGTCTACAAAGAGCCGCTTGACCATTTTCAGTGCAAAGAAAGAGCTGAGTTTGGAAACATCTGAAGTTACTGTTTGAAAGCCGAATGAAACATCTTTGACATCTTGTAAATGGAGTACCTGTTAAAAGAACATAAAAAAATATTAAGCATGTTGGTTTTTTTTTTACATTTATTACTTAAACATTCCTAACAGCAAAAAATAATGCTAGTTCGTGATCAGAGCAGTGGCTTTTCATATTTAACTTAACATCACAGCCTCTTGCTGTTGTTACTCAGCAATCCTTTATTTCTTTTTATTTCTTTTACATCCTCATATAAATCTAAAAACCTGATCCTCCCAGAACTTTAACCAAACATATATTTCTTTTCTGTAAGCAGTCTGAAGAAATCAATAGATATGTTCATGCTGATGATGTGGCTTAATTGATTAAAACTCTGTAGTATGGAGTCATAATCTTTTCACCAGTTACATTCCTGTCCAAAACCATGGAGCTTTTAAGCCAGGTAAATGAGGGTCCCAGTTAGCTGCCTTTCTAGAAGTGGGATACACCTTTAAAAATGCTTAACAGATAATCAGGTTTTCTGATTGCTGTGACTGATACATGACATCACACGACATTTCAGCGAAAATTGATCAGATAACTACATCTGTTTTGGTAGACAAATGATGAGCTGGAGGTAGGGCTGCTGACTCACACGCGGCCACCTCCCAGCTCCTGGGAATGAGAAGTCCAGCTCTAGTTAGCTCTGGGGTGACCTAAAACTCACTGCTTTTAGTCACCAGATGTGAGAGGTTCCTGCTGGTTTTGTTTGAAAATAAGCCTGTAAATACAAATTGAATTTCTGTGCCTGCTTATTTCAGGGCTTTTGATGGTGGCTGTTCCATTACAGGCAATCTTTCTCAAATTCCCACATGAGGCATAGCAGGCACTAGAGAACTTATTTTCCCTCTGTCCCTCACTCCTGCTCTTTCTCCCTGAGCACTCCATATCTTCACAGACACAACAAATTGCCACTCTGCCTTAGCCATCCTGCCGTGTCCTTCCCTCTCCTTGCTCAGTGGGAGAAGGAAGAAATAAGCTCCCAAGGACAACAGCACATCTCTTATAACCAAACCCCACAGTCATTTCCTCAAAAACAACCTTCTCAACTTATTTCCTTTTCCTCCAACACTTCTATTTCTTAGCAGGTTAAGTGCAGAAAGCTTCTGCACCTGGAAACTATGTCTGGGGAGAAAGCTACACTACTGCAATTTCTCTACCTGGGAGAGCTTTTAGCACAAGTTTGTTAACTGATATTCCAGAGTAAGACTGGCAATCTGGCTCCTTTAGTATCTAGTATTTAAAACCCAAGCATGAACTCAGCGGGCAGGCAGAAGCTAGAACAGATGTGCAAAATAGGAGATATTACATTTAAAAACATACCAAGTTTTCCTTACTAACTGTAGTCAGCACTTTTTGTATGTCAGTTGAGAAATATTAGACATAAACACGCTTGTGTAGCACAATTCCATTTGTGGATGTGTACATTAACTTACTATGGGATGGTTCCAAGCAAATTGCACAAGTGAAAACAAAAATAAGGTTAACGTTTTGAACTCTCCCATTAGAAAGACAAGATTTGAATTTTGAAATGGTGAGGAAGCTGCACGGTGTCATTTAAGTTAAAAAAAAAGATCTAGAGTTAATTTAATTTAAATTTTTTTAAATGGTCCTGTTTGGAAAAATCTGCAAAGGCAAAAAGACCTCTGTCGATGTATTGCTTTGCAAATACGAGAAGAGCACAGGACTCGTATTCTGTGATATGAGCCGGGGCACAGGAGGCTACACTAAGTGGTACCTTCAGTAAATGAGGAAGAACAGGGAGGACTTCCCAAAGGAGCAAAAATGTATTCAAATATGTAGAACATCCCTCAAAGCCAGGTGATAATCAGCATACAAATGCATACTGAATTTGCTTCTCATTCACCTTCAGGTAACTGCAGAAACCATGGGCACCCTTGTTGAGATAAAAGGAACTATGCAAATCTCTGCTCACAGAGAGGCAACAGAAGGGGCTGCCAGGCTGCCTCCCTGCACCACAGAGTGAGCTTGATAAACTGATTGCACCCTCACTGCCGTGCTGCACTGTGGTGTTGGAAATCCCTTGAACACCATGAGCTGCTTGTAAGGAGAAACATAGTTGAAGTTGTGCCCTCTTCTGCTCCATTCACCTCCTCTTAGCAGTATTGTAGGAGAAAGGGGAAGTGTCAATGACAAGACTGCTAAACACACTTGCTGCTGACAGAAAATGGCAAAATTATTTCCAATTCTATAAAGCTTAGGCATTCTTGAATAATGAAAAAGCTATTATCCAGAAAATGCAGTGTTCTTGACTGTGACTTGCAGCCACAAGCAACACTACACTAAAAGGAGAAAAGGCTTTAACAGAACTGTTGAGGACTCTGCCATGTCAACCTCCACCTTGTACATATTTGAGAAAGCTTTTTCTTTATGCCAGATTTTCAACCTCTTTTGCTGTGTGGGACAATGAAGTGTAGAACCATTCAGAAATTTCAGATGGATGGTCTGCAGCCTGGCTTACAAGGGAATGAGAAGTCCAGCAGAATATTAACAAGAATAAATAAGAAAGCCACCTCTGATAGTCATAATTTTGCAGCCACAAAAGAGGATGTTGACAGCTTACCTGTTTCATTTGGTCTGCAGTATCACCTTTTGTAGCTTTATATGCCAGGGCCAGAGATGTTGAGGTACACAGTGGGGCAAAAATAATATTGGCTGTTCTGTCCTTCTCACATAGTTTTTTGAATATATCAACTGCAAAGGCAGTATTTGCTAATTGCAGAGCATCCATTGTCATCCTGGATCAGAAAAAGGAAAAGAGAGATGATGACTCAGTGTGTAATCCCAGCTCCTGCTGTGGTGGGGCTGGGTCAGAGCACTGAAAGTGGCTGGACACCAGTGTGGGGACTGGGCAGCTTGAGCCTTCACAGGCAAGAGAGGAGGGTCTGACTGAGCCCACTCAGCTTCAGAGCACACTGGCAGCCCCTGAGGAACAGGGAAGGTCTCATCCATGTCCAGTCAAGAAAATGCAAGTGGTTCAGCAATAGCCATCACCTTCAAGTGACAGCTGGCAATGCTACGTGTTACATGGAGTCAGTATTACCAGAAGCACTGGGGGAAATCTGAATACATCAGGGTGACCCACGTATATTAGGTCAAATTGGATCACATATGAATTTAATCTGGTTTTAATTGATACTCTTAAAATGTGCCAACTTATAAGATACTTTGCCTATGCTCTGGGGTCTCCTGGCTCTCAGGCAGGCCTTTAATAGTCTCATAATCTTTCCTGTCTCTTTCTTCATGGCTAATTGTTCATTAAAGCTTTAGCTTTGGTACATGTGATTCCTCTAAGGGATAATTCCCTATTCTCTCTAGCCTTGCTAGAAGTCTGCAGAAAGCTCTCTGGTCCTGTAGCTTGAGATCATCCTAGAAACTTAAAGGAGGCCTCCTACATGAATATTGCTGTGTGCCCACTCTCCACTTACACTGTTTTAACCGCAAATATTTTCCTAGCCATTCCTAATATCTGCAATTGCCACAGGGCTGTTAGATGATCTGTGCAGTCAGGAATGGGATGGATAATGCCCAAGTGACATTTGTTGCAGCCCATGTTCTGGGAAAGGCAAGGAGTTTTCCCATCTTCCAGACCGCCCTGGAAGCACAAGTCTAGCTTTAGACCAGCAAGCACACAGAAGACAACCTCTTTGGCATAGTGAATTTGACACTACTCTGCTCCCAGTATCATGTATCCCTAAAGAAAAGGCAATCTGTGTAAAATTGGTATTAAACAGCTCCATCAAAGCTATTGACAGAGACAGAAAAGAAATTGAAAAGATGAATATTGGGAGAGACTTCAAAAGGCATACATTTTCACAAAGAACCTAAAAGGTGTCTCCAGCATTTGCTTTCTCCAGGAAAAATGGCAAAATAGTGGAATAAATATGGTGTGGAGGGGTGATTCTAAAAGGTGTCTTCTTATCCAGACACATACCTATCTGCATTTGCATTTCACGCTCTGACACTGAAGATCTAGGAGTCCTGTTTTATCCTGTTATGAAAAGGTAAGTCAGTAATTGCTTACATTGGTAGGAGGTTTGCTAACCTTTTGAGAAATACTTTAAGAACAGAGATTTCTCTTCCATAACTGACTACTTAATACTGCAGTCTCAAACATTTACTTACCTAGTTCATATCATTTGCATTCACTGGGTGAGAGCAGCAAGGTTATGAGAAGGCAGAAAGGGGAAGAGGGAACATATGGGCAGGGAAATGTCTCCAGCCAGGTACCTTTCGGAAAGGCATTTTGAATGAGAACAATCTCCTATTTAAGTGCATGTGTCATGCTGCTCAAACTTAATTGAACATCTGACACATACAGAGATGCTGTGCAGCAGTTGTGGTACTTGACAGTAGTGAATGACTTACAAATAATCTGTGGTATTTATAGATTTTTATGGGAGTAACAGAACGGGTGCATGATTTGCCTGCACACGGTAGAGAAACCACTCTGATTTACTCGTAAGGCCTGTTTGATTAGAGAAGGCCTTTTACAAAAGAAACGTCTTTATTTTTATTTTAATTAACTTACACATATTCTTGGATGTATTAGGTAAGGGAACTGGTTTATTTGGCAACTGGTTTGTTTTAGGCTAAAATATGCTATATAAAAGGTTACTGAAATGCATTGCACAATCTAATTAAGTAAAAGAAAATAAAAAATACTGGCATAAACCCCAGGTTTTTTTAATTCATGTTTGAAAAGCACACCTAACCAGCACTGCACTCTCGCAAAATGTTCTGACTGTTGGTATTAGCAACAATCTGCTTGCTAACAAATCCCCTCCCACTGGGAAAAAAAAAGGGGGGGGGAATTTGTCTTGAGGAGGGGAAGCATTAAATAAGTATCACTGAAGAAAGTTATCCCCATATGAAAATATAGAGGAGTATGCTTTGCAACATCTAGAGGCTTTGCCAGAACCCTGAATTTGGAATGGACCTGGCTGGACTTGTCCACCTTCCAATGGCCTGGCAGTGTGCAGCAGCTGCTTGGAAAGAGATCACCCATGTGAGATCCCATTTTACAGTGTCAGCAGGCATCAAGCGTCAGGTGTCAGTGAGGTTCAGGAAACACATCTCAGAGACCTTACAGGTGTAAAGAGAGAACTGAGCGCCAGCCCAGCACTGCAACCATCTATCTCATTTACGTAGTCACTATTTCTCATGCACAAAAGCAACTAATTACCAGAAAAGTCAAGCTTGCCTGAAACCGTGAGGTCAGCACACACCTTAAAGAAGGAGAGCTTTGGGCAGAACAGTTGCAAAAGAGAGGTAAAACAAATTTGAAGGACTGAGACTGCCACTGAAGGAGTAACTTGGAACAACGGAGGCAAAGGAGCAAATGTAAAATCATCCTTTAAAATGCCTGTTTGTAGTTGATCATCCCAGACTGTGTCTGTGCACGTCTTAAATCAACTCCCTTGCACAGGCTACCTCTCTTATCTTCTCCATTCACTCAACCATTCACACATGAACACACAATACTCTACACTTCTCTCCCTCTCCTCCCACCCCAACCCTCATCAGTTAAAATTTGAAGATTTGGGGCAAGTACCAACTTCCCAGACATTTTTTACAGAGGAGCTAGTGGAAAAATACCCAAGGAACCAAGAATGTGTCGTACAACATCTACCATCCGCAAGAAGGCAAACAATATGGAGAACCTCACAATGCAGAGAGGCATGTACTTTATCTAAAAAAAGTCTTATTTGCTAGCAGGGTAAAATACAATTCTTTAGTGCTGACTGGTCTGATATTATTCTGTTTAGGCCTCTGGATCTTCCTTACAGGCTAAAAATCAATATGTAATCATAACCACTTAATACTTCTTGTTCCTTTCTGGCTTTGTATTGCAAATGCTATGCTGTCATTCTAACAATATTCTTTTCAGTTAAGTTAGCAAACCTAGGGTGACTTTAAGATTATGTGCTACCTGTGTTTCTCTTCCTTGGGTTGCAAGTGATTGAGAGTAAGGAAAGCAAAGTGGAAATTTTACAACATTTAATGACACTCTTCTTCCTTACACCAGCAAAAAGCTGTACCATGACTAAGAAACTCTTCTGTCTTCACTGGTAACTCTGATACTGTTCATGTTGGATAATTTTCTGCAAAGTTTCTAGGTTCCTTTTCAGTGAGGAAAAGGAGATGTTTCATGGTGAACCTTTTATTTACCTTTTGTTCATCCAGTAACTGCTGATACTCACAAAGCTTCTTTTCTGCTGCGTAGAACTATTTCTGGTAGCGGTAAAGCTCTCCATTTTTACAATTTATTCATTTTAGTGCTACTATTGAAATAATGCCCATTCAGGTCATTTTATTTGGGAAAAAAAGAAAAAAGCTCAGTTTTACCCTTAACCTTGAACGATGGCTTGGACAGCCAAGAATAATCTCTGTTCCATCAACTTCTTCAACTGTACCTGGTCAGTCAGTTCTTTTATGCTCCATTTATTAATGATGTTATGATATTTAGGAGCTCGTGACATTCATATTCTTGAAAGGAATTTATTGTATTAAATAGTTTAAAATCTTGAGTCTCCTTAGAGCCTTAAACGTCCCAAGCCTTGTGAGTCCATTAAAGCCAGCTCCTGTCAAGTGAGAAGCGTTGAGGGTCCCATCAAGAAGAGAGCCAATTAGCTGTCCATTAGCAGTTTTAGAAACCAGACACAGCCCTTGAGTCAGTAAATGCAGGAAACGGTCAAACAGGGAGGAGTCAAAACGTTGAAATGAAATTTTATGAAGGCCTGCTACATGGATTCTTGCTGAGTCCCTCCTTTCCCGGGAAAGTGGTATGTCAGCATTTCCAGAGTGGCCCGCGGCACCAGGGCATCTTCTAAGCACAGGTAGCTTGTGATCCACCCAGCTTTGCTTAAAACTGTGACTCTGCCATGGCGTTATAGAAACATTTTCAGGTACAGAAGGGAGCTGAAAGGCTACTACTTAACCAGTTTAGAAACACCAGATTTAAACTTGTTTATTGGTGTAAGACACCACTTTTGCCTATTCACTCTTGAATGCAACAACAACAAAACAAAAAAATCAACAGAGAGGCTTTGTTTACTATATGCTTACTAAGATAAAAGCTAAGTATAGATTATCTTTCAAAAATATGATCAGGAGAATAGCAGTGTCTGTGTGGAAATGTCTAACAAGACATACAGTAGGGATAACCTGATAAAGCAGAACAAGTATTTATCTTCTTCTTGTCTTGGTTAAGCAGTCCTTCCAGGAGAAGACACCTGTGGCAAATAAACCGTGGACATTGCTGGCCATTCAGTACTGGTGGGTGTGTATTGGGTTTCCAGCTCAAGAGCTGTGAGTGCCACCACTGTAGACTCTCCAGTTCAAACTTCTACCAAGAGGGTAAATGACATGAAACAACGCACACTCACATTTCATGAATGAGGCAATATTTTTTTGAAACTAGCTCAAGCATTTAACATGACCCCACTTCAGCTCTTACTCAGCAAACACAAAATATAAAGGAAATAAAAGACTTCTGGGACCCTTTTTCTTTTTACTTTTAAACAAGGGAGAACTCTCTACCTGGCAGACTACCTGGCTACACAAAAAGGACACAAGTTCCTCTGAACGAACATTTCTTTGAGGAATGCAAACCATCAGACCGAGGTGGGACCAGAGCATCTCGTAAAAAGCACCCTCAGCAATAGAGCAGGGAAAGACAGTCCAGGAAAGAAAGAAAGAAATTAGCCACACAATGTACTTTTTTGTACCTCAATAGCCAGTGAATTCTTCAAACAGTCACACTGAAAATAAATTGGTAATCACTGGACCTAAGTTCCTACCCTTCACTTTAAACAAGTGTGGATTATTCTCTTGATTAGTAAGTCAAAGCAAACAGAACATACACACTTCTGCAGGAAATGCAAGGAATATTTCTCTGTATTAGAGACTTACAAAACAGTCTAAATCCTACTTTGACACATGAAACATTTTCATGGCATCATAAACAACCTGCTTTTTCTGATAAAGCAGGAAAGCCATTTGCAATAAACCACAGGAAGTGTAAATGTTTTAATAATTCCTAATGCTCTTGCTGTCTCACCTGCCAAATCCTATTCACCACTTTCAATGAATCTTTCTAGAGGGAAGAAATACAGCATGGCAAATGCAGCAATTTTGGGATGAGACCAAAATGTTGTAGTTTGGGAAGGGTTTTTTGCTCCCTTAATACCACTAAATACCCTTTTATGTACAAATTTCCTTATCCTACTCCTTCTACACTATTATGGTTCACAATAGAGAATCGTTAACTATTAGTTATGCATTAATTAAAGTAGAAGAGAAAGGAAAAAAAAGCTGTACTTACTTTGCAAGGCTAAAATCCCGGTAAACAAATCAATGAAATGGGTACAGCACGAAGAACTAGCTACCTGTGGTGAAACACTGCTGAGCAGAAGACTCTGTCAACTTGCCTGCTCATTGACACCACTCCCACTTTCCCAACCTTAATTTGTGCACACTCACACTCCCTCTCACTCTCGCTTTCTTTTTTTTTTCCCTACTCCCTTAATCATTCTTCATGGCAGCTCCTACACTGGAGGAGCAAAATGATTCACACCAGAGCTGTCTTTGCCTGCCCAGCTACTGAGGACAACAACAAGCTCTGGCAGGAAGGAGCAGTGTTTGTGTGTTGCCTTCAGCAAGCGCAGGCCAAAAGGCACTAAACAAGAACGAACGAAGACTATGAAGGGGAGAATACAGGAGGGGATGAGCAATTCAAAGGCCTCCTGAGCAAAACCAGTACTCCAAGTTACATTGGAAGTGCCGCTATTTGCAGAAAAATTGTAATTCTGAAAAAGCACCCAGGAAGACAACCAAAATGTGTAGGAGTGCATGGCTAGGCACTTTGCATCTTTATATGCATTAATATAGAGTCTTAACTCTGTCTTTATAAGAGGCATATGTGTGCATTTGGTTGCCTTAAAAGTCCAAGGCCAGACTGGAGTTAATGCTCAAGGAAAAATATCTGCCCTTCTTGTTGCTGTAAGGCAAGAGGTTCCTCCCATAGCCAGCCAGGTCCTCTGAGGGAAGCAGCTTTCTCTGCTACTAGCTGTCCCCAGAGGTGGGAGGAAGGAAGGGGAGGAAGGGAGGAAGTCCCAAGCCTTCACCTCCAGGATGGGAACCACAGGGTTCACGTTGTACAGACCACTTTACTACTGATGAACATGACAGGGATGGGAGAAGCAAGTGAGAGGCACAGGCAACGGTACAACCCATGAGGTCTATTTTTATTTGAAAGATGTACGCAGCCCTTAGGCAGGAAGAGGTGGCCTACCCCTGTTCCACACCATTCCCAGGTCGGGCAGCCAAGGTTCCAGCAGCGGGGAACACAAGCAAGTGCTCCCTATAAGGCCATGGCTACACTTCGGTCCCCATGCGGAAATGGCGTGCCACACCACGGGCTCACCTCAGGTTCACACCTCAGTAACCCCAGGTAGCCCTGCATACTTCTAGGCTACCAGTGTGCTACAAAAAGAGGCAAATACAAGATACTTGAGTTTGCTTTCAGGTTTGCAGTGCTGGTGCTTCTGGCTGCCCAAATGAAAGGGCTAGGAAACCAAAGGATGTGTTTTCCCTGACTTGGTGCCTCCTTGGTGACAGTGGGAACTTGGGAGCTGTTATCTCCTTCTGGAATGACACGTTCTTGTTTTGCTTTGAGCATAAATCACTCCATGCCACAGTGTCCTGATCAGATGCTACCCACGTTTCCTTCCAAAAGATCTTATCACCCAAGGGAAATTAACATTTTACTTTCTTCTGTGATGCAGATGGGGTTCACCTTCCATCATTTACCAGACAGCAAATTTAAAATTTGTATGCTTTGCCATAAGCAAATTCATAACAAAGACAGGGTGTGGATATGTTTAAGCAATTAAAACAAGATGTAGGCCAGCCAGCTAAACTCTGCCATCTGGGCCATTATTACTATGTATCTAATTATGCCTTCTGTAGGAGAAATTTTGATGAAAATCCACAATCATGTTGGCTGCCAGACTCTTCTCAGATGTCTGCAGGTAATCTAAAGCCAAACATTGGCATTCCTTCAGGACCAAGCTTTCCTTCAGACCCAGGTCTACCAAGTATGGTCACTGTGAAGTGGCTCAGCAGCTGCTGCAGGGAGCAGGGCAACAGTCAGACTGCCTTGACAGTGACAACATAACTCACCAGATCCATTTCCCTGCTAGTGATAGATGAGAAATACAGATTTAAGTAGATGCATCAGTTTAAAGGCTGGACGATGGAAAAGAGAAAGGACTCTACATTGCCAAGCTGGAGGTGTGTAAACATCACTTACCCTATACTAGGTAATTGCTCTTTGATAGCTGAGGTCTGGCACTATGGGGCTGTATAGAATCCTTCAGTCTGACCAAGCTACTGCTGAAAAATTAATTATTTCTGGCTGTGATGCCATGAAACTAATAATTACTGCTGGAACTGTGATACTTCAAATGAAGGAGTCCACACTGGCACTGGTAACTAAGTGGCTCAGAGGGCAGTCCTGCTTCCCTTGAGAATGGATATTTTGGGTTCATTTGCTGTTGGAGGTAATTTTAAAATAACTGTGACTTCCCAGAATCTTCTTATTCATATTTATGGGAATTCCTGACATATTACTTGATCTTACTTATAGCCCAAATAGGAAGAAGGGGAAAAGCAAAAGATGCTAGCTTGAAAAGCAGAACATGCTTAACTTCAGATACGTGAGGTTTGAAAAGGGACAAGAAATGGAGCACTTCTCCCCTAGTCCAGGAACAGTCTTTCTCAGTCTGACTGAATGACAATCACTTACATCAGCTTTCCCATCTCCTACCTTTCCCTAAATTAGCCTTGTTCAGTTTCATCTTATTTTCTACACATACCTATTATGACCTGTATTTCTATCACCAAGTTTAAAAAATAAATAAATAAAAGAACCAACAGGATTTTTCCTTATCAAAAAATCAAAACTATTTTTAAGCCCCCTGTGAGTTGGACACCTTCTACTGTGGCATTACCTCAGAAAATAAGGTAAATAAATAAGGTAGAAACAATGGATGTGTGGGATGGAACACTATTTAAACCTGAATCCTTGTAACTCGGACAAGTTACAGCCTACTGACTAATAACTAGGCTTTTGTCCATGCTCTTCCAGGTCTTCAATAGCCCAAAGAAAAACACAAACTAGGACCGTGCTGGACACTGGGATCCAACAGTTATCTATGTGCGTCCTCACCTATGAACCAGCAAGCCGGACACGCTTCGTAGCAGAAGGGCTGCAAGCAGCCCCGTGACGCTCCTGTTACTCAGCCTGCTTTCTGCCTTCGTTGCCCGGCTCTCCCTGCCTCTCCTTCTGAACACCTCCAAGGAACGCTGTTCCTACATGCTGCTGAAAAAGAAAAAAAGAAAAACAGCCACCTTCTCACCACTCCAAACAAGCTCATCTGGGGGGAGGGAGTATTCCTGCTGCTCAGCACAGCATGGAGAACTGTTTCAGAAACTCAAAGTGTCCACTGCAGTCTTTATTTTTTTCTTCCCCCAAACTCACTGATGCTCGGTGTTTGTCTGATTGCAATTAATGCTGTCATGCTTTGAAAATCACACAGGAAATAATCTAGAAGTGGGACTGACTAATGAACAAACTGGTGCACTCTTTCTATGCTACCAGTCATGACAGATCTTTTAATCAAGTTACAGCTTGGTTTAGTTACAGTTACAGTAAGCTTTAGATCTTGCAAGGAAGCCAATGATAGGGGGTCATTCGTATTCTTTTATTTTGAATCAGAGACCTACATTTTTAACACTATTAGAAAAATTCAAAGGGTAAGATTGCAGTGTTTGTAAACAGGTATACACAGCAGAACTTTTCATATTCCTCCCATAACATGGATCTAGATTACTGTTTAGCAACAGGAGCAAGTCATGGACAAAACTATTTTTTATTTTTGTAAGAAATGCTAGTAAAGATCAGACTGACAGGTGTAAACCACTAGTTTGCAATTAAAATAACTCTTACCATAATAAAGTGTTATTCCATGGTTCCGCTGAGAGAGACACAAACTGAGCAGTAACAAGCTGGCTCTCTGCCTTTTCTCTTTCTTCACAAGACATTTACACTGATATGCACAGTGGATGGTATCACATAGCAACACACTGATTCAATGTGTATGGTAGCAATATAGTTTTCTTCAGACATGTCTACTGACGTAGTATTACTCACTGGTGATTACTTCTAATAATGGACAGGAAATTATTTTCTTGCACTTACATGTGCTCACTTCTGTGTTTTTTTTAAGTGAGGTTTTTTGGGACTGAGGTATGAGTTTCATTGGAAAAACTGAAACAGGCAAACAAATAGCTGAAAGCTTTCAGCAAGAAAAAAGCTTTTAATCTGGCTTATGAGAAATGAATGATCCCATGTGCTGGAATCGGGTTGTTGAGGATCTGACCTTTTTCCATAAAGGCGTTGTTCCCAACATTTAGAGTCAGGCATAATGTTTGTTGTAATACAAATAAATCAGCTTAATGAAGAGATAGATTTGATTGACTGCTTGGAAGAGCCTGTGAAAATAGCCTCACAATACTGCTAGGAATTCAAAATATAAGGGGAAATCCATATATGTAAAAGACACAAAAAGCCCTGACATGTTATTCTGAAACTTCATTTTTTGCCCACTGTACAAAGATTAAGATCAGCTTCTACGAAACAAGAGCAGAGCAACAATGCTTTGGATTAATTACTTCTCACCAAAGTATCTGTGATCCACTCCTTCCAGGAAGAAAAAAATGTTGAACCCATCCTTGTGTGCACTACAGGTTCAGTGTGCCATCTCATGGCACACAGATAATATTCTTCTTCCTTTGCCAGTGATGCCCACAGTCACTGCACCAGCTTCCTTTGCCAGGCTGGAACTGTGACTCAAAATCACCAGCCTTACACTTGCTTCAGAAAAAAATGCAAACACACTCATGGTTGTCATGTTTATTAATTCATTTTTTTCCATTTAGTGGTATTTTCAAGTTTTTGAAGTGCCACTCCCTAGTACTGTTTAGGTGAATGGATTCACCATATTGAAACTACCTTACCACTTGAGTACTGTTACTAAGGACGCTTTCAATTTATTGTTCTTGATTATAGATCTGTGGAGGACCTCAACTTGTGAATCACTGGCAGCATAATAGTCTATCAGTAAGTTTCTAACTGAGCACAGGAGCAATTTTAGAATTATATAGCACTACTTCAGGTAGCAATAAAAAATCTGTATGGGGATAGGATTGTTCCTGTGACTAGATCAATGTGGAAACTCTAAAGGGAGAGGACATGACATTGGCATCAGAGAAATTAGCAGAAGTACCTTTCGGGACCAAGCAGCCCTCCCCCTGACACCAAACTAGTTTTAACTCAGAGCTTCAGCAGTTTCTGGAAGGGATTACACAACCTTCACTTCACGACCTGGACTCTGG